AAAACCCTCCCCACTCCAGAATTAAGTCCCTGCTTTTTTTCTTACAGTATGAGAGCGGGTTTTCATCATGATGATGAACAACCATATTGGCACATATTCTCCCTGGTTGTCCATATTACTTCAGTATATTCATGGGAATTCAATGGGCTCTTTTGTGTTTGATATGTGGTGTCCTGTTTGCATATTATATACTTCACTGTAATCCAGTTGCTGTTAAGAATGATTTACTTTAATAGGAAAAGAAAAAAACTGCACCCCAGGCCCATTCCTGAGTGTCCATACAATGAATTGCTAACCATTTTGGAAACAGCACYAAGTATGTAATGGGCATGATATGTGTGGAACTGTGGGTCTGTGATATAAATGCACATTTAATCATTGTGTGGGGTGACTCTTGATTGCTTCTAAATATGTAGCATTATGGTGGATTAATTTGTKCAATTCTACTAACTTTGAGACTGTAACAGTTGTGAAGGAAACAATGGTTTTCAAATGAAGGGGCTTACAGAATGGTACAATGTTAYTAATATAGTTTGGCCTTTGTTATACAAATTGTTAACACCAGCTATTAAAATATAATAGAAAAAAGAAAAAAGAAATTCCCTGCGTGTAGTTTTGCCTTTAGCCTGGATTTAAGATTTAAGGTCCTGCTCTCTCCTMTTCATAGCTCTGGTGGTGATCTCTCACTGGCTTCCAGTACACTGTGAACTATCTGAGGTTGTCACAGATGTAGTCCTTGTACTAGCACACCATATGACATATGACTGGTATCAGTAAAATATTCTGTGTGTATGAATAAGGCCATATGGGTGAGAGACAGCCTCCAAGAGTGTCACCAAATACCAGGTCTGGACCTCAGATTGTGAAATCAGTTAATCAGAGAAATTATTTCTTCATAGAATAGTACTTGTTTAAACAAAACTAAATATCAACACCAATTTGCAATAGGATCTGTCAGGCAGTCCAGTTGATCTCTTTTGGCTATCTCATGGATTTTCACCATCTAATAAAAATACATGGAAATAGCAATAAAAACTAATTATTTGTAACAAATACATGGTGAAAATTCTGGTCCCATTAAAATGAAATAAGCACACTCTATTTTTTCTTACACTGAACACAACTAAACACTCTGGGCAGAATGATTAGAATTAGATGAGCTAAAAAAATATATGGAAAAAAGTAGATTGACAAAACTCAAAATGTCAGTGAAGTAGGCATGAATTTCTTAGTTTTTCCTCTAATATCTTTAAATGTGAAGTTGAAAGCAGCTTRMGACATGGATCTTGTGCACCAGGTGCAATCAGAAAGAACTATAAGACAAGTCCTCTATTTCTAGACTAAGAAGCAGAAAGGGGATACCTACAGGTTGGAAGGAATT